GATGTAGAAGATCATGTACCTTCCCTGTTGGACCTTCAGCTGACCTCTCATCCGAATAGATATCAGGTCTCCGTCGACGACCCTCTTAGCTCCTCGGACCATTGTCTGAACCGGAGTACGGTGCCACTCACACACTCATCTCGGTTGCGTATTACAGGTTGCCGCTGTGTTTGGCATTATAGGTCAGCAGACTGGGATGGGATGCGATCTTTTTTTGCATCCTACCCTTGCGGGCGGGTTTGCTTCTCGCCGGATGATCCCAGCATTGTTGCTGAATGTTTCGTTGATGTAGCTGATGCATGTCGCAGGGAATGGAACTTTTTATTCCATCATCTGTGGTACCTATCGGAGGCAGAACCCAGCCTTGGTTTGGTCGCTCCTGTAAAATTGCACTACGCCATAAGCAGGAGTGCTACCAGGCCTGGGCTCGCGCATCGACGTCTCCGGATGCAAATACCAACATCCTTAAAAAGAAGTACAATTCTGCCTCCAGGTCCTTCAAAAGTGTCATTGTCAAGGCAAAGTCAGAGCACATCGGCTGAATTGGCGAGAAACTAGTTCGTCTTTCTTCAAGAACACGTGCATTCTGGTCTCTCGCCAAGGCTGTCCAAGGGAACCGTTGTTAGCCATCTCATCTCTGCACAGGGTGGACGACTCACTGGCCCATGCCGCAAAGGACAAAGCCGATCTGCTGGGCTCTCTTTTTGGCTAACTTAATCTTTTTTTGCAAATTGCAGCTCTGTATTAGCGAATATTGATCGTAATGTGATTGATGCACGACAAAAACTGAACTATTATTAAAACAATACTATTTCATTTAAAAAATACCGTCTACGGGCCTTTAACGGAACCACCTCCAAAAATAAGTTCTACGGTTTAGACGTGAAAAATGACGAACATATAAACAACTTAGATAAAGGCATAAATAAGTTGGAAAACAGGGTATTTTTACCCACAGATAGTATGCCGTGTGTCCGTGGCCATATGAAAACATTCTCATAATTTTTTAATCGATGTTATTATTATAGAAATATCAATATGGGCAGCCCTATTAACCGCCATTTTATCATTGATTTATATATTACACTAGATCAGTAATAACCGCGCCAAAGCGTTGCCACTGCATATATGGCCACAGCCATATGCCTAGCTAACGTCAGTTCAGTGTTCAATGTGACGCCGTCAGAGTTGAGCCGCGACAAAAAATGGGTAAATGCGTAGTGAAAGAATGCTGTTGAAGGTCACACAAACGTAACAAAACAAGCGGAATCACTTTCAACACATAATTTTTAGTTCTTGTTTTCATATAAACGTAAAAAACCTCAAATAATTAAATAAAATTATCGAATATTGCCATTTAGGTTCAATGTTGCCACTTTTTCCGCATTTGTGATTATCCTACATTAATGGGAGACTATATAATTAATGGAGTAAGTTAATTTGTTACCTCTGATTTCAAATATTTTGGAAATTATAATAAAAACCACGTTTTAACTTTCATACAAAGTAATTAATTATTCTTATTTTAGTTTATTTATGAATTATCTATTAAATATATTTTATGACCTACTTATTTTATATTAATAATTATATATTAGTTATAATTTCATATAAATTTTATATTAATTACATTTTATTACCTCTTTTATATTGTTTGATTTATTAGTACAATAAAAATACTTATAAAAATATGTTTTATTTCATCATTATGTTTACTTCTATTTATCTGATAAGCTTTGTATCCTTTTTTTTCTAAGGGGACGCAACAAAGATTATAAAATAAAATATACTTTTTTTAATATAAAAAAATTAACTGCAGCTAAAAAAAACCTCATTTTTATTGCGTATTTTAGGTAAAATTTCATATAGTAAGCCACACCAACCCGCCATTGCACGTTTGTGTGTCTATCTTTATCTAATCTTAGCGACGATATTGTTTTCGCAACTTGTGTAAGTGAGATAGATATATGTTTATTTAAAATTGTTATTAGTTTCAAAGCTACGTCGTCGCGTTTGGATAGTGGTTACACTTTTTTCGACGCGCGGTAATGTGGCTTGCTCCTCTAGTGTTGTATAACTCAAAGCATTTTATCCTCAGGTCCATACGTTATATATATATATATATATATATATATATATATATATATATATATATATATATATATATATATGCATTTTTCTGACACGATAGTATTCATCCAAAGGATGAAATGAACGATGATATTTCCATAACCTAAAATGAATTAACATTCACTAGAAATTTTAGATTCACTGAAGCTGAGCCGTCTAATGTCATAGGCTTGGGTAAAATATATCGAAATATCGATATTTTCTCATAAAAATATCGATATATGTCGTCGATATTTTGAAATCGACATTTTTTTGAAGTGTCGAATTCGTATAAATTTCGGTTTATTTTAAAATGTTATATTATCGACAAAACAGCAACAAAAGTAGCTACAAAGCATTCATGTTCAGAATTTAGGAAGCTGTAATGAACGACACCGGCGCTAGTCCACCAAACACAAGTAACTTTTTCTGAGTCAATTTTCGTTTAGGGCAGGATTTGTCTGGGTCTCAAAGGTGCCATTGCAATGAGCGCTTCCGATTATCGTACAGTATCCACTTTTCATCCCAATTTTTTAAATGAAATTTTTAATGATTCGATTTAAAATCCTTCATTTTTGTGCACTGAAGTAATATGTACTTACGTACTAGAACAGCTATCTCAAACAAAAAATGTGCGCTACTCTGTGTTCGCGCGTTTGGTTTTTTTATCATAGAATAAACATAGGTAGAATGATCCGTAGGTAATAGTAGATTGTATTGTTAAATAGCAAAATTATATCGAGAACAATATTTAAATTTTGTCATTTATTTTGTATATTATATTTGTTTATTTAATATAATATTACATAATATTATATCACAATACATTTTAATGATTTTTTTATCTGAATATTTTAAAAGGTATCTATGTTAAATATAAAAAAACATACTAAATGTATGTTTAACAAAACTTATTAACATAAAATTTAAATTACAAATATATTTATTTAAATTAGAATCATAAATGCTGTAAATAATCGTTTATAAATGCTGGGCACGCGAGAGTTAAAAATGGACGAATTTATTCCACTTTGACTTTGAAGTGGAAACCTAAAAATAAAATAAAAGAATAGTAAGCAGATTTAAACATGAAAAATTTAGCCTAATTGTAATAACTTATATGTTTCTACAAAAAAAATGTGTATAAAAAATTCGTCCTAAACTTAAGTACCCACAGAAATGTCGCATCTGAACATATTAATTTCATAATCTATATTCAATGATACGAGATGGCGTCTTAGGAATAATTTTTTTTATTATTAATTTACAATACTTTTTTATTGAATAAGTATCTTATTAACCGATGAAAAGTAATTCCTTGGTTTTAACTAACATTTCTTGAATTATTTGTGCAATATCTAAGTACACAAGACGGCATATTTTTATCAAGAGATTTTTTTAAATCAACACAACACGTGACAACTCTACAAGCGCCTAGCGAGTGACTGAGTAAAGTGCAGTGCATGCACCGCAGTTGAGTGGAACAGAGTAGCTGAATGCAGTGTCTCCTCTAGTACGTAGTACATAATAGCTTAATGTTTTTGTGTTGGTTGAGCAAAGTAACACAGCAGTTGACGCGTGTTTGCAAGTTCGATTCACTCAATTCATAGGGTATCCATCGTTCAAGTTTTTTTTCACTTTCCCGATTTGCTTCAAGTGGATTAATACAGTTTTATCACTTACCCTGAAGCCTGCGGATACCTCTGAAGTGCTTTGTGTTCGGATCCGCTTCCAGATTAGCTTTTAATTTTTCATTTTCCACTTTGGTCTCCGGCCGTCCACGGGGTTGGTTCTGAATGTTGAAATTTCCAGAACGAAAACGGTGAAACCAAAAACGTACCGTGCTTTCTTTTGCGACACCAGCGCCGTACACATCATTAATCCTTCGAGCTGTTTCTGAAGCACTGGTGCCACGGTAGAACTTGTACTCGTAAATATACCGATATTTCATGTTTTCCAATGTGCGGTAATAAGCGACGCCAAAGAAAAAAACAATGAGGAAAAAACAAATGAATGACTGTATTCAAAACTCTAATGTACCAGCTATATTAATTTATAAATTTGAATTCGGAATTCTTAACCAAAATGGAGATATTTCAGATCAAAGTGGTCAGTACGAGAAATTGCTAATTTCATATGTAAGGACCCATTATTAACAAGTTTAAGGATTGCTTGAATAGCCTCTCTTATTCTGAAGTATATAGTGAACCTGATTTGAATATAGCTTTCAATAACTTTTATTCGAACGTCAGATTGTTTTACGATTTGTGTTTCCTAATTAAAAAAGTAAAGGTTCAAACAAAAACAATCACATGTGGCTTAGTAAAGACTTACTAAAAAGCTGTAACACAAAGAGAAAGCTCCGATATAACAATTATAAACATAAATTAGCAATCAATAGTCATAAATATTTTATATATTCAAATATCCTAAAAAAATGTGTAAGTAAATTTAAGAGACTCGCAAACATTAAATTTATTCAAAATAGCAATAATAAATGAAATAGGTATATAACAAAGCGAAGCTACTATTAACTGCCTAACAATTGATGACTCCGACATAGCAAACCCGGAAGAAATAACCCAAATATTAAATAATTACTTTAGAAAATCGGAAACAGTAATATTAATAATGTAAATAATGGCAAAGGCTCTAATATTTTTTTGTATTATCTGGATTGTATTTTTGTTTTTTATTCTTATTTTTTCGTAATGAAATTTCAATAAAATTTTCCTAAGATTCTGGGAGGGAATTTGAAGGAAACAATTAATACGAACTGTATAAAGAGCAGAATTATAGTTCAATAAAGGATAAATAAAAACTGTTAAAATGTCAAACTCTCAAAATTGTGCCGGCTGCAAAAATTCTATAACGAATAAAGACTCTCTACAATGTATGCAATGCAAGGGGAAATACGATCTGGATTGTGCAAACATCAGCCCAAAGAACTTTCGTCAAATGGAGCGAAAAAAAGAACATTGGAAATGCCCGGAATGTCTAAGCAAACTACCAAAAAAGAGGGAAATTCTAACACGCCTGTACGAGGCACCACGGCAACCATAGAGGGAGGAACAACCCTACGTACGGATTCATCCACCGTGTCGCATGTCCTCAAAGAGTGGCAATCCTAATGTAACGGTGCGATCCAAGGTGTTAAATCCACCCCCACTCAGTGAGACGAGCAACCCAATACAAGGCGTTGAGAACATCACCATCAACTCTTACGCGGATATTCTGAATGACTTAAAAATCTACATGAAAAATTTATTGCACGATGAAATGGACAGAGTACAAAAAGCTATCGGTAGTCTTACAAATGCCATCAAAGACCAAAACAGCCGGATTGAGCAACTGGAGGCTAGAGTTTCGATATTGGAGAGTAAGTCGGAAACCAAGCCTGCCCAAACCCATCCAATTGAGGGCATCGTAATGCAGTTGCAGGCTGATATTGCGGAAAGAGACCAAACCTTACTCTCTAACGACCTAGAAATAGCTGGCTGTCCAGAAACACCCAATGAAAACTGCACCCACATTATTCTGACGGTTGCTAAGAAAATTGGTATGGAGTTGGACGATAAAGACGTCGTATCAGCAGAACGCGTGGGCCCACTTCGTCCAGCGAAACAGGACAGCACAACACCGCGCCCAAGACCTATAGCCGTGCGCCTTGCACACGGAACGGCCTGCTTCAAGCTGCGCGCTCCAGACGTAATCTCAACAGCGATGGCCTCGAATTACCTGGACCCACCAAACTGTTATATCTTAATGAACGCTTGACAAGATTTAACCGTCAACTTCTTCAAAAAGCACGCTCCCTTGCCCGCGAAGTACAATTCAAATATGTATGGGTACGGGAGGGAAAGATATTTGTGCGCAAGGAACAAGGGAAACCGCGGATTCGAATTAGAAATGAAATGGACTTATCAAAGGTTTTTAAGTATAATGACAGCTGATATCTTTCCATCCCATACACACCAACTGATGTTTTTATGTGTTTTGGTATCGTGTAAGGAATGTATTTAATCGTTTCTTTTAAATTTACTTCCTGAAATCTGTAATTGAGACTATTTCTACACAAACAACTAGCACCTCAATCACACTTTCTGACACACCGTACACAACCCACTTATTCATCACAAGTTTTATATTACTTTAAATATTTATTATTATCGTATCAAGTTATTATATCCTAAATGGTTAGTATTAAAAATAAATATCTAAGAATAGGTCTATTAAACGCCAGATCTCTGAATACTGGGCAGGATGAATTTCTTGTGGCTGTCCGTAATCACACTCCTGATATATTAGCTATAAATGAAACGTGGTTAAAAGATGGAGAAGATGAATTTGCGCCTATAATACCAAATTATAAGTTTGTGCATAGAGGTAGGCAACTAAAAAAAGGGAGGAGGTGTAGGTTCTATATGAAGCAGGGAATAAATACTAAAGTACGGCAACACCCAGCGGCGTCTCTAGAGCAGATGTGGCTAGAAATTCAACTCCCGGGAGCTTCAATGGCCCTTGGCACGGCCTACAGACCTAACGGTGTGGGTGGTACAGAAACACTGGACGCTCTGAGTGACTCCCTGAATTCAATGGCACAATGCGATTACACTTGCATACTTGGCGATTTCAACGTAGATATGATTAACAAACATTGCAATAGAGCAAAAGATATAATGCAATTCTGCTATCAACATAACCTTGAACAACTCGTCAAAGAACCAACGAAAGTCACTGATCAGACTGAAACTATTTTAGATCTCGTCATGACTAACACTCCCTCAAGATGCAAAAATATTAAACTTATACACAATCGTTGTCTTAGTGATCATGCATTGGTGCTGTTAGATTTGGACATAAGAAAACCAAAATTTTATAAACAAGTAAAACAACAGAGATTACTAAGAAATATTAATTCCGAAGCTTTCGCAAGAGATCTGACACTTATACCCTGGGACTCTATCTATAATCTAGAGAACGTAGACGAAATGGTTCAAACTTTCAACGTATATATGAGTCAATTATTTGATGCTCATGCACCTGCCCGTACGCTGACGATAAGGGACAAACCAAAGCCGTGGATTACAGATATGTTGCTATTCATGATGAGTTTACGTGACGATGCGTTAGAAAAAGCCCAGAAGGATAAAAAAAGATTGTTCAAATGAATACTACCGAACCCTTAAAAATTTAGTCACAGCAACCCGTAAACGCGAAAAAAAAGCTTACTTTAACCATTATATAAACAACAACTTAAAAGATCCGAGGTCGCTGTGGCGTAATATAAAAAATGCTGCACAAATTAAAACTACTCATTTAAATACAATTCCACACCATCTCAATGACCCGAATATTATTAATGACTATTTTCTAGACTTGCCGCCATGTGACAAACCAGAACTCAAACAAGGTTATAAAGTATGTAACGAATGCTCACACGATACCCTATTCGACCTAAACCCGACAAATGAAATAGAAATCAGTAAGATTATCAATAAAATAAAAACAAAAGCTGCAGGCCACGATAACTTAAATATTGAAATGCTCAAATTAACTTTACCTGTAACTCTCCCTATTATTACATTTATAGTAAACGTCGATCGAAACCAGTACATTCCCAACGCAATG